CACCCAACTGCTGAGACCACTGCTTTAGTAAAACTCCTGATTACTTTTATCAAAGCACATTTTCTGAAAGCCCTCATTTTTCTCAGCAACATTCCATCATCACTTTCATCAAACACCCAATAAATCCTCAGCAGTTGCCTTAGCAGTTCACTGCTATCTAGCCAACTACCAAGCCAACTGCCAGACATTTGGGTTCAATCTTCCACCAAGATAGAAAGTATTCATACACTGATTCCATAAAGGGTAAAGACTTCCGTTGTGCGTCTATAATTCTCTCAAAAGATTATAGATCAACTCTTTAGAGGGAGAAACGCTTTAAAATTGAAAAAGATTTAAAAGTCTATTCACCCCCCCCCCCCTCTAGACTTTTACCCTATCCGGGACCATAACTTTGCTTTACAGAGTCAACCCATACCATCACATACAACTAGAAGCATGGACTCAAATAAGAAAACAAAACTAGCAACACAGGCTACTCCAAACAAGTCAAAAGGAGGACATGTTGAAGATAAAAGATCAAGTGGATGCTTCAACGATCAAGATTGAATCTCCTCAGCCAACGGGAGATATTCAACAAACTTAAGTCTATAAATTACCAAGGAATGTGATGAAGAAGACTCAGCGAGGATAGTGCAAACAAAGCAATCATACACAGAATATCTTGCAAAAGATAAAGTGCTAATCCATCACTTTACTCTTGGCTCGTTCACATTTCTTTAAGCTCTTAGACTAGTTCACAATGATATATTCATACGTGAGCTTAGAATAGTTGGAAAAAGTTGTAACACCTTTGAAAAGAATTTGTGCTACAAATCCAAAGAGTGGGTAGAATAGGACATGAGTAACTTCTGAATCAGGCTGATTCATTAGTGAAAAACCTAGAGGCTAGAGTAACTTGGAGTGGTGTGTACTCCTTGTCAAAACCTGAAAGTTTACTCTTGTGATCAAGGGTAACCTGATCACTAAGTGTATTGGTCAAATAGTTTAGTGGAAATCCATTTATAGGGTGGGATTGGATGTAGGAGGATTACACCACCTCCGAACAAGGATACATCAGTGCGTTACAATCTTTAAAGCTACTAACCACCAAACCAAAAAGCCTCAACAAAATTCCCACAAAAACAGTTCCTACTCAAAACCACACTTCCAACCAACCAACTTCTGGTAAACATTCAAAAGTCAGCTCTTTCTAAACTGTCAGTGTGTTTAACTAAAATTCAAATGTTCCGCTACCAATCCTAAACCTCTTTAAAGGTTTCAAGGGTTAAACTCACCTAGAGGATCAAAGACATTTAATCAAAAAGATCTAAAAGTCTATTCACCCCCCTCTAGACTTTTACCAGGGACCTTCAAGTGGTATCAGAGCGGGTATTCTTAGAATCAGTTCTTAACTGATTATTTTGAATCACGATCCAGAAAATCTCCCAAAACACACTAAGCCATGGATAGTCACCTGGCCACAAACTTTCTGTTCAACTTAGAAAAATTTGATGATTGGAAAATCAGGATGAAAGCTCATCTAAGCGAACTGCATGATGAAATGCTGTAAGTCATCACATTAGGACCCATACAGATCATGAAGGTCAACACACAAAGAGCTGTAACTCAAGATGCAGATGTGTATATTCTAAAACCCAAACTTGAGTGGACAAGAGAAGACAGAAAAAGGAATAACTTGGACAATATTACCAAGGATATTCTTTTTAAAGCTGTGAGTGAATCCATATTTCCACGAATAAGGAAATGTGAAACAGCAAAAGATGCTTGGGATGAACTCACCAAAATTGGTGCAAGCGATGAACAGGACAAAGACAACAAACTGACTATAGCCCTCAAAAGGTTTGAGGATTTTAAAATGTTGCCTCAGGAAACAATGTTAAATCTGGAGTCAAGGTTTCTAAAACTCACTGCTGAAATCTCTGACTTGGGAAAGACTCTTACACAAAAAGAGATCTCTCTCAAGGTTCTAAGAGGACTCCCAAGCAAGTGGGATATGAAAGTGACTGCTATGAGAGATAGCAGAGACCTAAGCATCACGACAACATCAAAGCTGTTCAGTGATCTAAAAGCATATGAGTTCGAGATGAACTCAAAGAAGACAAAGAAGAACCAAGCACACTGACTCTAGTAACAGAGCCACACAAGTCAAAGAAAGCTGAGAATAGTCAGAACAATCTTCTTTCTGAAAAACATTTTTCCATGTTTGTAAGAAAGTTCAAAAGGTTCATCAAGAAGGATGAACCAAGCCCATCAAGAAGGACTCACTACCCATCAAGAAAAGAAGGAAGAAACACTGGTAAGGATTCTGTGCTTTGCTATAATTGTATAGAACTTGGACACTTCAAAAGTGAATGTCCATTCTCACTGGTCCCAAAACACAGAGGACAACCAACTTCAAAAACCAACCAGCAAAACTTCAAAAGCAGAAGGCAAACTTTTGTAAGTGAAAAAAAGGAATGCCAGAATGAAGATAAAGAAAGCTCATATGAATACACAAGCTCTGACAGTTCAGAGGAAGCACTATTCTGCCTAATGGCCCACAATCAAAAGTCAGCAACAGTCTCACAGCTCTCAACTGACTACAGCAAGCAAATCTCTCTAAACTGCCTTATGGCCAAATCTGATGATGATGATGAGAGATCACAGTTTATTTTAAGATCTGAAAATGAAAAGCTTCAAAAGAACTTGAAAGTAGCCCAAGCACAACTGGGTGAAGTTATAATTCAAAAAGATCTCTTGGAAACGGAAAATTTTCATCTTAAAGAAAAACTAAATATGATGAGAAATCCCCCCACTGAGGAAGCTGAGAGAAACTGGAACTTAACAGGATTAGGGTACAAAATTTTGTTTAAACCACTGAAAAATCATTCATTTCCCAGTTATCCACAAAAAAACCTCAAAAGAAACCTATCAGAAAACCTCCTCTCCAAGAAATACCAAATACTAACCATCCTACAAAAGAAAAGTTAAGCTCCATCAAAAACATTATCCTCAACATCAACATACCAGAAGGAAAGCTTACTGGGGACATAAAAGAAGCCTGAAAAAATATATAGCCATACCATTTCACTACAAAACAAATAATGGCTATGGACCAATTTTTCTTGGCCTAGACGGTTCAAGATGGGCATGGATGCCTAAATTGACTCAGAAGGAGCCCACCAATCTGTGGGTTCCTAACTCTTGTTATTGATAAAAACAGGAAGGTGCTGGAGTAGCAGCACAAGAAGCTTGGTATGTTGATTCAGGCTGCTCCAGGCACATGACAGGCACCAAAAGGGTGTTGACAAACTTCATACTAGGAGAAGGACCAAAGGTTACCTTTGGAAACGAGGAGAAAAGAGGAGAAACAAAAGGAACATGAGAATTGAGGAAATCTGAGCTGGTGATCCAAAACATATCCTATGTTAAAGGTCTCAAGTTCGATTTACTCAGCACAAGTCAACTGTGCGATACTGGCTATACTGTGGAATTCTCAAAAGACAAATGCTCAATCAAGGACATTCTCACTAAAGAAAGTGTACTCACAGGAAGGAGAAAGAAAGACATGTACATTGTTGATTGGAACACAGCCAAACAAGGAGTCTGTCTTATCTCAAAGGACAACTCAAGTCCATGTTGGGAATGGCACAACAAGTTGAGCCACCTCAACTTTAATACAATCAACAATCTCTCAAGCGCTTGCCAGAAGGGAAACTGGTAGAAGGTTTACCAGAACTGGATTACAAAAAGGATCATCTCTGTAGCGCTTGCCAGAAGGGAAAGCAAACAAAGACCTCATTCAGAAAACAAATTACAGCATTAGCAACAAGGCCACTGAAACTTCTACACTTAGACTTGTTTGGACCAGTTGAGCCAACAAGCATAAGTGAAAAAAGGTACACTCTTGTGGTCGTTGATGACTACTCCAAATTCACATGGAACATCTTTATGAAGAAAAAGAATGAGACTGAAAGCAAGCTTCCTGAACTGATGAAGCTGATTCAAAATGAGAAAAGTCTTCCTATTCAAAAAATAAGATCAGACAGAGGAACTGAATTTGTCAATCAGGTTATCACTCACTTCTGTAGCATTTCTGGAATCCAGCACCAACTCTCAGCATCTCAAACTCCCCAACAAAATGGAGTTGCCGAAAGAAGAAATAGAACCTTGAAGGAAGCAGGAAGGACCATGATTGAAGTTGCAAACTTACCAAAAAGATACTGGGCAGAAGCCATCAATACCGCATGCTACACACAAAATAGAAGTCTAATACATAAGACTTATTCAAAGACTCCATACGAGCTATGGAAAGGAAGAAAGCCTAATATCGAATATTTCCATGTGTTTGGTAGCAAATGCTTCATACTAAACAATGGAAAGCACTATCTCAGACCTTTTGATGCAAAATCTAACGAAGGGATCTTTCTGGGATACTCTACAACATCAAGGGCTTTCAGAGTTCTCAACAAAAGAAGTCTCACTATAGAAGAATCTATTCATGTTGTCTTTGACAAAGAAACTCAAGAACAGAACGAGGAAGGCAGTGGTCAGCTGACTGCATCAAACATTAGCTGCCTCCCAAACACTTCAAGACAAATCACAGATCTGGACTGACACTACCTCAAGAAGAAGAAGAAGAAAAAGGAGAAGAAGAAGAAGAAGAAGAAGAAGAAGAAGAAAGTCAACCACAAAAGCATGATCTCAGATGGTTAAGCAAGCATCCTCAATCTCAAATTATTGGAGACATCAACCAAGGAGTACGAACCAAAGCTGCCGTTCAACGAGAATCAATGTTCTCTTGTTTCATCTCATAAGTAGAACCAAAACAAATGAAGAAGCTCTAAAAGATCCAGATTGGATACTTGCCATGCAAGAGGAACTAATACAATTTGAAAGAAACAAAGTTTGGTATTTGGTTCCTAGACCAAAGCATCAAAATGTAATTGCAACAGAATGGGTATTCAAAAACAAAATGGATGAAGAAGGAATGATTATCAGAAACAAGGCAAGACTGGTTGCAAAAGGATACTGCCAAGAAGAGGACATAGACTTTGATGAAACTTTTGCATTAGTAGCCAGACTAGAGGATATCAGAATTTTTCTAGCTTATGCCTCTCACAAGCACTTTCCAGTGTATCAAATGGATGTCAAAAGTGCATTTCTCAATGGACAGCTAGAAGAAGAAGTCTATGTAGAACAGCCACCTGGTTTTGAACTCAAAGATGGAAGAGATGAGGTCTACCGTCTCAGAAAAGCTCTCTATGGACTCAAGCAGGCTCCAAGATCATGGTATGAAACTCTATCCATCTTTCTCCTATAAAATGGTTTCTCAAAAATAAAGGTAGACAAAACCCTGTCCAAACTTCAAGATGGACCTGACATTCTTCTTGTGCAAATCTATGTTGGTGATATCATCTTTGGATGCTCAAACCAAGCTCTTTGCAAGAAGTTCTCTTATCTCATGCAATCAAAGTTTGAAATGAGCATGATGGGAGAGATGAACTACTTCTTGCGCTTACAAGTAAAGCAAACTGCAGCAGGGATACTGATCAATCAAGCTAAGTACACCAGAGACCTAATTCTCAAATTTGGAGTTGAAGGAAAGACTTCAGTGAGAATACTAACAAACACATCCCAAACAATTGGTTCTACTGAAGATGGCAAGGATGTTGATCCTACAGTATACAGAGGTATAATTGGATCTGTGTTATACCTAACTGCAAGCAGACCTGACATTTCCTACTCGGTTGGAGTATGTGAAAGATATCAATCTAAACCAAAGAAAAGCCATCTCTTCACAGCTACCCGATTTGAACAAGGCTTGCCCGATGGATCCCTAACAATAGGTCTTTTGTTGCTCGATCAAGACATATTCGTCCATCGACTAGAGAAGAAAATAAATATCTACCATTGTGGATCGCTGGAGAATTGAAGGGAAGGAACGACTGGTGGGAGAGACTATTCATTGGAGGAGAATACGATTGGCGTATATTGTCGTTCAAAATCGGCTTACGATTCACCGTTCACAAGCCACTTAAGCATCATCAGCACCAGTACTCTTTGTCGGTGTTCATCACTGTAGTCATTGTAATGTCGAAAGAAGGCTAGGAGTATCGTTTTCTGAAAGTACTAGTTCAATTGGAATCCTGCTGAGTAACCAGAGGAGGAGGGTCGTGGAAGAGCTGCATCGTTTCTTCTTGTTCACAAATAAGACCCATGAATAGTAATATGCAGGGGCGGACCCACCCTAGGGCTAGGGGGTGCCCGTGCCCCTGCGGTGATTTATATATATATATATATGTATTGGAAAATTCTCAGGTCCAGCACCTCCCGGTCCGAACGCCGTCCGAACACCGTCGTTTGGGGCGGTTCCAGATGGAAATTTTTGATGAAATTTTTTGAGCATGTTCCTCATCAAGTCTAGTTTATCCATACCAAATTGCAGGTCAAAGTTCGACCGGGAAGGCAGTCAAATAATTCGTTGAAATTAATTGTGTTTTTCTATGTATAATTTGGCGCAGTTAACTTCAACGAATTATTTGACTGCCTTCCCGGTCGAATTTTGAGCTGAAGTTTGGTATGGATAAACTAGACTTGATGAGGAACATGCTCAAAAAATTTCATCAAAATATTCCGTCGGGAATCGCCCCAAACGCCGGTGTTTAGACGGCGTTCGGACAGAAAAGTGCTGGACAGAAAAGTTATGCCGATTGAGACTTATGATGTTAATATTAGAGATGAGTTGAGAAGACGTTATTTGAGAAAATGTCCTTGCCAACCGCGTGACTTTAAATTTCCACAAAGTGATTTTAATGGGTGCAACATATCATTCCAAAAACAGTGGTTTTATTTAAATTTTATAGTTTTGTTTATTGATATACTCGTGATGCATATGATTTTTTTCTAGACTAGTATATCATTTCTTTGTTATTGTGCCCCTGCGAGTCACGAGTCCTGGTTCCGCCACTGGTAATATGTGTACTCTTGTAGCCCTGGTTGACCGAGCAGTTTACCAGTGTCAATCGGGCATTTTACCAGCGTTGATCGGGCAGTTTATTGAGTTTGACCAAGGCATGACTGTTTTATAATTGACATACATAAATTATACTCCAGGTGAGTGATTGGAACATTATATGCTTATAACTTGTATTTATACATATGATTAGCTAGCGAAAATATCATTTTTAGATAATTTAAAATATTATTTCTTATATGTGGACATTATCTGCTATGAGAGAATTTGATAGGATTATTCGGATTATGTGTTAAGGATGTAGTGTACTTATGTGAACCTATTACGAATTATATAGATGTGATTGAGTAGGTTTGATATGGACACTGATTACGCTGATCGTGCCTGATTGAGATATGTGAAGATGAATACGTGCTTGAAAGGAGTCTATGGGTAGGATTAAATTATTTTTATCTGGACAGACCCCCTCGGACCGTTCATAATTAAAATAGGAATGTTTGAGATAATTAGCTACCTAATATAGTCTTTGCGCATAGGTAAGAGGACCGTGACATGACATGACTCTAGAGAGCGTGATTGGGGTGGCACGGACTCGTCGTGCGATCACACAAAGGGTGTATACTGTAACAGGGAACCTTACAGGACTCTGGCGGTGGTAGAACATAGGTTCCTCAAAGACATTACCTTATGACGGGAATGTAGTACATGCGTATAGGAGCGAGTGGTCTGAAAATTCCAGGTTTTTATTCGGGTGACAACACTTGTATAAGGTCAGGTGGCCTAAGGGCCGAACTAAAAATTTAATAATAATATTCCTGACTGATTGAATTATTTTTTGGGCATACAGGTGGAATAAAGTTAAATTGGGCCTAAGGGATAGTAATCAAGCTTTCGGACTTGACATATTGAACAATTGTTTTGAGGTGATAATTAATGGTTTTTAGAGAAAATGGTCAACTAAGGCCTTCTACTATTACGAAATAGTCACATAAGACCATGTACTCAATAAAGTGTCTTATAAGTGCCTTTCTTGTATAAAGCAATCAAATGAGTCCTAACGGCTTATTTAACATCTCCTAAAAAAGGCCTTATGTGACTATTTCATAATAGTAGAAGGCCTTATTTGACCCTTTTCTCAAGATTTTTATAAAATAAAATGGCCTAAGAGCTTATTATTATATACTTTGTATATAGGATATATAAAATGTTACTACGTATATTATACCTATCACCATATTTTAAGGGTCTTATATATAAGTTCTCATTTTATATCTTATAGTGTCTCCTTCTTTCACCAGTACCAAATGTATTGACCCCTAGGGGGCTCATTTTATTCAGATACGAGCTTGTGCTTGCTGCCTGCACTTTTTCAGAGAGTGTACTCAGGTGAAGACTTAATTCGTGCTTCCCCATTCTATTATAAAATTAGTTATTAAATGCCCATGAGTTATAATTTTGTAAATCCTATCTGTAAGTGACTAATTACTATTTTAAATATTATTTTCCAATGCGTATTAATTAAATACGCTTAGTTTGTTTTATTGTTATGTGATACTTAGTGTGTATGATATAAATGACGCCTTGTGTAATTTGATAAGAGTGGACTGTGGTATCATAGCGTAAGGTTCCCAAACATCCAATTTGAAATTCTCAAAGCTGAATTTCTGAAAATGATTTTTTTTTGTAACCATGAGCATACTATTTTTGTGCCTAGGAACTTTTGGTACTCGGGTTGTCATGTCTCTGATTGTTAAGATGACGTCCTTAACAATTGGTATGTCGGCGACTAGAGCCAAAAGATGTCCGAAATACTTATCAGTGAATCGATACTTGATACGAGCCAGTTGACTTATTCCCATTTCTTCAATAGCGGTTAAATGAGTGTGAGGAAGGGATTTAGAGAATAGATTTTGAAGAATCATTATTATCATCATTACTCCAGTGCCGCAAAGGCTCCCACACCTTTGATGGGGGTAACGGGGGTTAAATGTACGCAATCTTACTAAATCACAGAGAGACTGTTTCTAGATGACCCATAGTGTAAATCACGTCGAAAATTGCATGGACCGACAGTTGCTTCATAACAAAGAGGCGCAAAGAATGTAGTAAGCCATTTATGTCTAGAGGTAAATGTGGGTAAAAGATTATCAAAGTAGCGGATAGAGGAACAATTTATGTCTAAAGGTATTAGATGCGGTAGAGGATGCTATTGGTAAGGGTTAAATGGTATCAACCCAAGGTATTGGACGTAGTGGGATTGAGAAAGAACATGTGGGATCCATTAGGAGGGCCAAACTGCAAAGCTAGTTTTCATGAGCTTTTAGAAATATGAAGAAGGAGGAATCAAGAATACTGTTTGGGAGTGAGTATATAATTGATACATTGTCATCAAGATGACCGAAGAGTCACGACATACAGACAAGATGAAGTTCGAGAAGTGAGCGGAATACGAATGAAGCTATCAAGGTGACATAAATTATAAATTCATATTTTCATGGCATAATCAAACTATATAATTACTTGTGTTAGATAGACTAGATAGACATGGGCTGTATGTATTTAGTTTTTGGGCTGAAAGGCTTTGTTTCCTTTGTATAAACTTGTATAAATACTTGTATTATGTGAATAGAAGGCAAGAAAAGATTTTCACCAAAATACACCTATACGTTTCAAAATGGTATTAGAGACGTGAGGGCCTTTTACGCACACCATCAGCGTCTTCTTCGCAAGTCTGCACCAGTGTGCTTCGACCTAGTGCCATGGGAGACATAACATCACCATACTATATGGGTTCGGGAGATCAACTTGGAAACCTTATTACTCATGTGATATTCAAAGGCGACAATTACGTTGCTTGGTCACGTGCTTTCTCTCTCTTTGAAAGCACGCCAGAAGAATGGCTTCATCGACGACACACTTAAGGAACCAACCGAGGCGGCAAAGAAAATCGATTTTGAGACAGTCAATTCCATTATTGTCTCGTGGACGCTAAGGAGTATGGAACCAACTGTTGTGGCGTCCATACCATTTCACGATGATGCACGAACTTTGTGGCTATATTTGGAAAAACGATATAGCGTTGCCAATGGACCACGGTTGCAGCAGTTGCGAGCATCAATTACGGAGTGCCGGCAGAGAAAGAACATGATGGCAGACACCTATTATACCGTACTTATGGGGCTGTTCGATGAATGATACCGGCTGAAACCTTTGCACTCGTGCTCGTGTGGGCTGTGCACGTGCAATGTTGTCGGGAAGTTTGCGGCTGATCGTGAGGAAGAAAAATTACATCAATTCCTTGTTGGAATTGATGATGAGCTTTATGGGACTGTCCGTTCCAACCTTCTGTCACACACGCCTTTGCCCGATCTCAACCGGGCTCATCAGGCATTTTTGTAGGCGGAAAATTCCAGAGCAATGATCCGCGGGAAGCATGCAGCATCGGCAAATGTCCAGGCCTTTGCTCTCAAGGTGGAACGGCCTGCAAAAGGTCGTGAGGCAAAGGCAGACCAACCATGTCCTGTGTGCACACACTGTAAACAGAAAGGCCACGAGGTGGGTTCGTGTTTCAAGCTCAATGGATACTCGGATTGGTGGGAAGACCGACCCTGGGCCAAGGGGGAAGCTACATGTCGAGAGGGCAGTTCTGGCCGAAAGGGGCGTTCGTACTCATTCACTAGCAGCGGCCGTACCTTCTCCTGAAGCCGGAAGCTCTTCTTCTAGTAGTAATTCCAACGATTTGGCTGTTTTGAGTCAGGAACAAATTCAAGCTCTCTTAAGTTTAATTGACAATAATTCTCGTACTTGTGACCGTATGTCGGGTAAGAACTTACGTTGGATTAATTCTCTTAAGTTTTAAGTTTAATTGACCGTATGTGCAATTCCATGAGGATGTGTTTCCTTTTATGCCTTCGGTTTCCTCAGTGGCTGATGGTTGTTTGCGGAATGACACTCTGTTGCCTATTGTTATGGATGAGGACACTGTTGTATCTGACATGAGTGGCATGGCTTCCACCACTTATACTATACCGGTGATCACCGAGCCAGAAGGTACTCCCCCCTTTACCGAGGCTACATCTACACAGGAGGCACCCCCTCCCTTAGGCCGCGGCATGGGTGCTAAACGCACCTCAGTCCTCCTCCGTGACTTTGTTACTCACCATGTGATAGTCAGCCCATCCTCGCTACACTCTCGGTTCGTCAGCTCCTCAGGTACGCCTTATCCCATAGCACCTATTATAAAATGTGATAAATTTTCCTCTCATCATCGAGCTTTCCTTGGAGCCTTACTTGCAGGTCAGGAACCACGTTCGTTCCGTGAGGCCATGACAGACTCGGGATGGCGTCAAGCCATGCAGAATGAGATAGAGGAACTTGAAAAAAATCACACGTGGTCCATGCAGCCTCTTCCTCCCGGTAAAAAGGCTCTTGGTTGTAAATGGGTGTAAAAATTAAATATAATTCTGATAGCACCGTAGAGCATCTCAAAGCCAGACTTGTTGTTTTTGGAGATCATCAGAAAGAGGGCATTGATTATACCGATACATTTTCTCGTGTTGCCAAAATGGTAACGATACGAGTTTTCTTAGCAGTAGCCGCGGCTAAGAACTCGGAATTACACCAGATGGACGTACACAATGTGTTTCTTCATGGTGATCTCAATGACGAAGTTTACATGAAACCTCCGCCCGATTTCTACTCATCACGACCTGGTCTTGTTTGTCGTCTGACAAAATCACTATATGGGCTCCGTCAAGCACCTCGCTGCTAGTTTTCTAAATTGGCAGCTTCTTTACGCACCTATGGCTTCACTCAGTCCTATTCTGATTATACTTTATTTAGTTATCATCGGGATCATATTCATATGCATGTGCTTGTCTATGTGGATGATTTGATACTTGCTGGAAATAATTCTGAGGCCTTATCTCGGTTTAAATCCTACTTACATTCCTATTTTCACATGAAGGATCTTGGTGCTCTTAAATATTTGCTGGGTGTTGAAGTGGCCCGTGGCCCAGATGGTTTATTCCTTTGTCAACGCAAATATGCGTTGGATATTATTTCTAAGACAGGTCTTCTTGGAGCCAAGCTTGTCGAGTTTCCTATGGAACCCAATTACGACTTATCTCTTGCTACGGGTGATCTTATATCTGATCCAGAATCCTATCATCGACTAGTGGGTCGGCTTATTTATCTATCGTTCACTCGCCCTGATCTGGCTTATGTTGTTCACATTTTATCTCAGTTTATGCAGGCTCCGTGCCAGGAACATTGGACGGCGGCTTTACGAGTAGTTCGATATCTCAACGGGTCCCCGGGTCAAGGCATTCTCTTATCCTCCACGAGTGACTTTTCTTTGCATAGTTGGTGTGACTTTGACTGGGCCAGTTGTCCCCTCACGCATCGTTCTCTCACTGGTTGGATGGTATTCCTTGGTACGTCACCAATCTCATGGAAAAAAAGAAATAGCACACTGTCTCTATGTGTCATCTACCGAGGCTGAGTATTGTTCTATGGCGGATGTGACTGCGGAATTGAAATGGCTAAAGGGTCTCCTGCGTACTCTTGGGGTTGCTCATGAACGCCCTATCACTTTATTCTGCGATAACAAATCCGCTCTACATATTGTTCATAACCCTGTCTTTCACGAGAGTATGAAACACATCGAAGTTGATTGTCACTATATTCGTGATGCTTTACAGGAGGGGTTCCTTATAGCTCAGCATGTCTCCACTTTTGAACAACTAGCTGACATTTTACTAAAGCTCTGGGCAAACGAGAATTTTCTTACTTACTCGGTAAGTTGGGCATTTTCAATCCGCATGCTTCAACTTGAGGGGGGTGTTAGATAGACTAGATAGACATGGGCTGTATGTATTTAGTTTTTGGGCCGAAGGACTTTGTTTCCTTTGTATAAACTTGTATAAATACTTGTATTATGTGAATAGAAGGCAAGAAAAGATTTTCACCAAAATACATGCACCTATACGTTTAAACAACTTGACTTATTCACCTTATTGCGCATACTTTTTCACTACAAAAAAACTCGCGTTTTGTCACGGATTTTTGTCACGGATTACGGCCGTGACAAAGTTGTCACGGGCTTTGTCAAGGAAAATTGGGATTTGTCACGAATACGTTTTGTCACGGATAGGTCCGTGACAAATTCCGTGACTAAGAATTGTCACGGATTTGGTCCGTGACAAATTTACTCCGGCGACCGGTTTTTTACTCCGGCCAAAACATTTTTTGCTCCCGGGCATTTGTCACGGACAGATCCGTGACAAATCCGTGACAAATTTCAAAAAAAGTTTGTCACGGATCCATCCGTGACAAAATCCGTGACAAACCTCAATTATTGATTTTCCAGCGGTAACCTTTAATAATACAGTACGAAAAAGGGGTTGTCACGGATAAATCCGTGACAAATCCGTGACAAATTTTTTTATATATCTCAACCCCCATCGTCCATTACAATTGCAAGAACAACACTTATCAGTTCAAAAATTCGTAGATTCGAGTGATGTAGTATCGGTTTAAAGATTGAATGATGTAATCTGTCAGTTCATCATTTTTCCTGTTTATGCAGATAAGGTATGTCATGTTAACTAATTTCTTTTAATTATGTAATAAATTATTAGCTTAGTGAGGTTAGTTGTTCATATATTAAAACTATTAACGTAATTTTAACGTAATTTAGTGAGGTCATGTTAATTTTCATATTATTAACAATATATTATTAAACTATTAACGTAATTTAGTTAAATTTAAATATAAATATTAATTAGTTAATTGAAATGAGTTTATATCAACAATGATTAGGCCGGTTTGTTTATTAGCAATTATTGTTATTAATGTATAATTTAGGATTTGTAGTGATTTAAGTTAGCTAGCTTATTATAGCTTAATTAGTGACTTAGCTTGTAGTGATTTAAGTTAGCTAGCTTAGGTTATTATCACCAATTATTGTTTATTAGCAATTATTGTTAATGCATAATATAGGATTGAAACTTTATTAATTAGTTTAGTGTGAATTATTATGATGTCCATGTACAAAGTGTAAAAATCTTCAACACCATCAAATTTAGCGGGAAACCAAGTTACTTTGATTGTCACCGCAAGTTCCTGCCTATGAACCATCGATATCAAAAGGACAAGAAGTCTTTTATTGCCGGAAGAGTGGTACGAGATCCCCCTCCTCCGAGACTTACAGGTGAACAAGTTTTTAACCAGGTTCGACGTTTTCCTACGGCTGTGCAGCAACCCTACGGGGAGCCAAATGGGTATTGTGATACCCATAAGTGGACAAAGAGGAGTATTGATGGAGTATATGGGCCTAAACCCCAGGGCCCACATACTCGGAAGAACAGAACGTACCACGACCACCTGGTGGGACCCTCGTCGGCCAGATGACCCTCATCGGCCAGAAAGAAGTCTACTCAGAATGTGATCCAGAAGCCTGGAAGAGCCGGGTGACCTCGTCGGCCGTGCCCTCGTCGGCCCTCTTGGGCCATAGGCAACCTCTAGAACAGGATTTACACTTAATCTTTTCTATGCACTTTGTATCCGGCCCATTAGTGGCCCTATTGTAAATGAGCCTCCCAAGCCCAAGACTTGGGAGCCCAGCCCTAATTTTTCCCATAAATACTCCCTCTGGGAGTAGTTGTAGGGTTGACAAATTCATTAATACAGAGCAATTATACTACTTCTCTCTCTAGCTCTCACTTCTCTCTAGACTTATAGTCTATCATTTGGTGCTTTCATTGAGAGGCTAGAACAATCAAGTTAGCCTCCTTCGTCGCTACCAAGCACAGCTAACTGACAATGGCAAGAACTAAGTCAAATCGTAACCTCCTCGGCAAGGCCATCCCTGAGGCCCAAGAGAACCAAGAACACGAGGAGGATGCCACGACCGACAAGGCCGCTGAGGGGGATGTCTTCCAGGAAGCCATCGACCTCGCAGGAGACCTACGCAACAAACTCAACGGCAGTGCCTCTGACGCCCGCCTCGGCTTGGACAAGAAGCATGCGGAGAAAGGCAACAATGCCTCGACGCAACCGGCCTCTCCTGCTGTTGACCCTCAGCTTCAGGCCGCGCTTTCGGCCATCATCGCCAGCTTGGCCCAGAACCCCACCATCCTCAGCGCACTCATGCCAAGGACGGGGGAGAACACGACGCTGCCTCCTCCGCCCCAGCCATTGGCCGTCAGGCTAGGCAACGATGAGGGGGTGGTGCCCCAGGACACGACGTCGTCCCACTCCCACCCTGCTTCCCCGCTTCGAGCTGGATCGACCCCAGCGCGTGGAAAAGCCTCAGCCTTTAATAGGCTAGGTGACACATGTCGTCGGCCTGCTTCGGAGAGGATGGCGGGGCGGATTGGGCAGCGTGAGCCTGGCTCACCGAGGGAAAGCTTGGGGTCTGTATCCCGAACAGCGGATCGGCCCCACTTGGACAAAGGCAAGGGGAAACTGCATGAGGATGATGCCCGTCGCCAAATCAACTCGACTCATGCAGTCCGCTTGCAGACTCAGGGTGCCACCATGGCCGCCAGGGACCCTAGGGACGAGGTGATCGCCCAACTCGAGCGAAGGCTCGCCCAGATGGAGGCCAAACAGCTGGCCGCCACGCCCACCGGCAACTCATCCAGGGATCCCGGCTACAACGCCCTTCTGAACAAGGTCACTATCCTTGAGAGGGAGTTGGCCGAAGGACGAGGGGACCCCATCATCCAGGTCAGGACGAGGACCCCCTTCACCGCCAGGGTACTCTCGGCCCCTATCCCCGAGAAGTACCGGGGAAACACCATCAAGCCCTATGACGGCCGCTCCGACCCCCAGGAGCACTTCAGCCGCTACCAGAACAACATGGCCTTTTCAACGGCCACAACGGCAAAGCAAAAAGAAACCCCACGCCATCGGTCTTGTGTAAAACCCTGATGATAATTTCTTGAAAGCGACCTACGTCCAAGGGTTCTCCCACAGGGTTACCTTGGTCAGGAAATCTCCAAGGAATTGGATTCAGGGGAATGCAAGAATCCGCTTCGGCCCAGGAAAATCCTTTACTCCTTCACCCCTCGCTTACTCTTCGGCCTGAAGTAGTGGGGGACTGGGGGACTACACCGACCTTTAGGATCTAGACAAAATCAAAGAAATCCAAAAATATGCTAAGTCCACAACTACAACATCAGATCACATATGCACCACAACGTCCATAACCCTGCGGTGCACCATCGGCTGCAGCTATCGTCAGCAAACAGAGAATTCTCTCCAAAGATCAAAGGGCACTCAACGGCTTAGGAACTCGCATACTTCAATCTCGGCCAGGAATCAAAGAACAGGAACTCAACGTACTTGAATCACCATCGTCCATAAGATCAGGACACGCACCACTCCTTCCGGATCAGTGCCGTTATCGTCCTCAAAAGCGTGAGCGCCAAGCTACGGATATCACCGCTCCGGCCAAAAAACACAGAATGCAGTCAACGGCTAAAGAAAGCAAACAGCACCCTCACCGGCCACCCGGAAACAAAAGGACACTCATCGTCCCAAACAAAGTGACACTCTTCGTCCACACCAAGGGTCACGCAACGAATAGAACACAAAGTGCCCGTAACGGCGCAAAACACAAAAACCAGAGCAAAGGGTGCTCATAACGGCCAAAGCAGGGAAAACCCCACAGCGGTCCCATAACGGCCAGAAAACGTCAGAAACAGGAAATCTACTCTCCCTCACTTCGTCTACATCTCAGCTCAGAGAGTGGGGGACTACTGATGGAGTATATGGGCCTAGACCCCAGGGCCCACATACTCGGAAGAACAGAAGGTACCACCACGACCACCTGGTGGGACCCTCGTCAGCCAGATGACCCTCATCGGCCAGAAAGAAGTCTACTCAGAATGTGATCTCGTCGGCCGGGTCTTCGTCGGCCGTGCCCTCATCGGTCATAGGCAACCTCCAGAACAGGATTTACAATTAATCTTTTCTATGCACTTTGTATCCGGCCCATTAGTGGCCCTATTGTAAATGGGCCTCCCAAGCCCAAGACTTGGGAGCCCAACCCTAATTTTTCCTATAAATACTCCCTCTGGGAGTAGTTGTAGGGGTTGACAA